TACTTATGTAAATTAGAGTTGCTTATGATAGGGAAAGCGCTGCTTTTATTTACCCTGGGACTGAGTCAGAGCTGTTTCCATTTGTGAACCAGAGAGCAGTAACCCAATTCCTCCCACATGCGCATATTCCCCAGAGAAAGTGGGTCTTGGTAGAGGACAGGGTTTGGGTCAAAGGTTGTTGGCACTGCACAAAAAAAAATAGAGAACAATGAAAAACAAGCATTTAATTGGATTTTATCAGAAGAACTGCCAAATGAATACAGTGCCAGGGAACTTTACCTGCAGCTCTCCATTACATTTCCTCTGTCAGAAAAAGCTGCCCCTTCTTATCTGTGCTGTTACTTGAGCAATGTCTCACAGCATCTGAGGTTGAGGGCACACATCCAGGATATTGTAAGTGTGTCATTGCCAAGTCCGTAAATACAGTTCATGTTTGTTGGCAGTTCCTCTGTCCATTAACATTACATCATCCCTAGACCAAGCCCATGATAATGAAAACAGTTTCAGTCCAAGTAAATCAGCTTCTGACTTAAAAGTCCCCAGTATAAAAGGTGATTATCAGTCCACAGATACCATGTACTCTTGCTTCCTTTTCCAGTACCTACCCTGTCTATGAGTTTTGAAAAAAGTACTAAAACCAAGTTTGTTTTAAGCCAAACGAGATCGCTAAGAGCTCAGATCCTTTTGAATCAGCACAGCTATCAAGTATCTTCTGCAATTCTGTATTTTTTGAATGTTCTGTGTCACCAGAACAGCAATACAACTCTTCGATCGCCATAGATAAGAAAAGAATGAAGGAGTTCAGTATTGTATTTCCATCATCCCCTTTCAGCTTCTTCCTGTTGTATACTAAATCCATGACCTTTTAACTCGGATCGGCCGTGTTGCTCAATAATGGGAAGGTTCCACAACTTCTCTGAACTTTTTTTTTTTTTGGTTCATCGTTGTGTAATTCCTATTTGTTGTTTTCAGCTAGACAAAGGTGCTGAGATTACTGGAGCAGGCATTGGTCTGTCATTGATAAAGTCCTCCAAACCCTCTTTTAGCTTTCTTTTCTAAGTCTTCAGCTTCCCTGTAGAGTTCCTTGTTGCCTAAATTGCATGTGATACTTTGATTCAAATCCTCCTCAGCATGAATTTCAACATATTCTTGGTAGTTAGCTATAAATATACCAGAAAACAATTTTCTTCAGAGTTCTGCTGCTGCAAGCCATACCATCACTCCTTCCTCCCTGTGATTCCTCAAGAGGATGTTAACACAGGTATCTGTTAGGACTATGGTGGGTGGCAGCTTCTTTCTCAATAACATTTCAGTGTCAAGTCAAACTTCTAAGCCAAGCAGATATCTCAGTATGGGAAAAGGTATGATTATTGTGCTTGAGGAGGATCTCACCCTTCTTATTTTCATTACCCAAGAAAGTTGAAAAGATAATTTTTTCTGGATGCTGTTGTTAACATCTTTGAATATTCTAATTGGTGATTTTCCTTCGAGATGATGCAGGAAATAACGTTTCACCATTCGGAGATATTATTGGTATTACAGTTACTGGTTTTGACTTCTCACACTCTGTCACCCACACTTTTTTAGTTCTGGTAGCATTCTATTTCATTCTTCCTTTATAGTTTCACTTGCAAAATCAAGCAAGGAGAGCTTGAAGCTGTCTGAAGATTCTCATTCCTTCTTGTAGAGGGGGAACATAAGTAGGAGAAGTGAACTCAGAAGTGAGGTGTGTCTGGATCCAGGAAAGATCATAATATTGAGAGCAATGGGGGAAACTATATTGGCACCCTTTGAATGTTCATGGTTAAGGAGTTACGCTATCCAGAACTGTAGCAAGATAAGGGTTGACTATCCAGGCACTCAGCCCAAGAAAGAGCAGAGGAGACACAAAATGTTTCAATTACTTATGTTACAAATTATATCCTGGTAGCAATTTTCTTAATATAACAGTACATCAGAACTTGACATTCTATGTGTCTTTCTGACCACCTCCATTTGACCTTTGTCATTGCGCCAGTGTCAGTCACAGTAGCTGCTCTTGAACACAGATGATCATCAGGGCTCTTGGAAGGCCCAGAGCAGAAAGCAGACTAATGTCAACATCTACAGCGTAATAAATCAGAATAAAAAATGGTTGCATAGTGAATTCAGTACTGTGAAGACTCACTGAAAAACAAAACTACATCGCCAGGGATGCTGCCCAGTTTAAGTTATTAATGAAGCAATACATCTTCCCCAGACGCACCGAGTGTACACACAGACCACTGCATTTCTCCTCATCTAGTTAAAGCTGCAGAAAAGAAGTCAGTAAAGCCTAACCTACCCAGTTTGGGTCTGGAGCTCAGGGAATTTGCCACTAAGGCTATCCGAAGTTCATAAAATGCCGTAGAAAGTTCCTAAGTGCCAGATTTTTAAAACCCCACATGAGAAATACAAAGTTTGTGAAATCTACTCATTCTAGTAAGGAGTTTTCAAATGCTGTTGAAACCTTGTTGCGGTCTCAAAGGCTCAAATATCCAGAAATCAAACCTCGGTATTGATTTATTGTATAACTGAATGTGATGAAATGTAGTAGAAAGTCCTTCAGAGAGCAAGTGCACAAAATAAAAACCCATAAGAGAAGCCTGATACTGTCATTTAAGTGAAGTTCGCTTGTGCAAGTGTGGGCTTCTAGGTTTCATGTCCACGTCAGTAGTTTCCAGACAATGTCACCTGCCAATTATGCTTTCATTAAAAGAACATCAAAAAGTTAGATTTTCCTAATATTAATTTAATAGGGTAAATAAATCATCTCTACTGAAAGGAAGTCACCAGGCATATTTTACATAGAAATGAGTGTTCCTTGAGGACTGTGAAAAACCTGCCAACGGGGATTTGAATGGAAATTAATAACCTTCTTAAAAATAGCATCAGACCCGCAGATACTTATTAAATTAAATTAAGTACATTTGGACAGTTTTCATACGTCATTCATCAAAACTTAAACCGAGCCTGGGAAATTCATAAACAAACATGAGGCAAACAAAACAGCACTTTGCTAAATTCTAAAAACCACATTTGTGAAATGAAGATGCAGCTGGGTGGTGTTTGTGCTGACAGGGACTAACCTACTTACGGCCGTGCCCCGTAGCCTGCCATTTTCCCCAAAGAAAATTCATGTTCTAATTATCTATTGTAATTTTTGCTCGCTTCTGCTTTTTATTAGCCGAGGCCATAGAGCTTTCCGATGTGAACCAGTCCCTATGAAGTCTGATTTACATCTCGCTAATGCATTACAGCTACATATGCTGTTACGTACATGTCAGATTGCTTTTGTCATAATGACAGAAAAACCCTCTTTGATGTGTTTTATAAACAATTAGAAGCTATTAGCATACTTCTGGTCACTTTAGGATACTATAGATAAAGGAAACATAACTCTAAGAGTCCCAAACTTCTGACTGATCTGAGAATTGTATCGATTTTAAAACTGACCAGCTTTTTACACTTCCTTTTAAACAGGGGGAATGCGTGTGAGGAGCAGTGATACGAAGAAACCTTCGCGAAGGTCACGTAAAGGCAACACTGGCTAGTGGGAGATCTCCTTGCAGAATAGATTGCAACCACTACCTTCGGCTGAAATAGTTGCACAAGGTGATTAAAGCACGATAGTCCTCCTAAGCACCTGCCTTTAAAGGATGTTTTTCCTTACTGCCCAGCACAGCCCGCTTGTCTTGAAACGACGCGGTGTGTGCAAACTGCTTAACATTTTGCATGGTAACAGGAAGACCGGAGCTGCTTTTCGGGGTGTCGAGGTGCTCTTCGGGGCGATGCCCGCACCAGAAGGAGGTTGGGGTTTCCGGGGGGTAGGCCAGTGCAGTGAGCCCCGGGCAGCGGGAGGCGGCAGGGGATGGGTCCCCCGGGAAGGGAGAAGCGCGGGTTTAGCCCCGGGCAGCGGAGGGTGGCTCTGCATGTTGCGGGGGGGACGCCGGCGAGGGGGAGCGGGGCCCGGCCGCGGGACGCTGAGCGCTCTCCGCT